CCACTTCGTAAAAAAAAGACGGTTCTCGGGAAACACAAGAGATGAAAATAATTATGCAAAAATAAATAAATAAAAAAAGATAAACAATAAATTAAATAAAAAGGAAAAAACAAAATCATTAAACGTCTCCTCCAGGGAATCGATCCCGCTACCGTCAAACCTACATTGGATTTGCAAGCGGCGCCTTAACGCGGTGCGCCACTGGATCACTCTCATTTACATAATAATAGACCACTTGACACTTTCACCGAATAGACTACCCCAATTTGACATTATACTTTCGATAGTTGCCTAGTTAGTGCAAGGGGTTATCCATCAGTGTCTAGGGGCCGGATAGCTTCTCCCTCACTGGCTTTTTAGTTAGCGCGAAGTTAGGACCAATTATCGGGATAGCATGGAAGAGCCGAAATCTCTAACCGGAATGTAAATCGATTCGACGCCTCAGCTTCACAGAATGTCTCGGGGGAATCGTCCCAAATTTTTTCGAAGTTTTTGTCAAGAGTTCGAGTCCCAGCAAGGCTGTGTTCTTTTTTTTGTTTTTTTCTTCTCTACTTCTTCTTTTAAATTAAACGCCTCCTTTCTTCTTTTAGTTAAAACTGCTTTCTAGTCAAGATTTTAATACATCGGCCATAAGAGTAACGCAATTGCTAGTAAATTATGCATGTTATGGTGGAACCTGGCCAATGGCGTTTGCTAAGCCAAACTTGGAAAAGTTGTCCATCCAATGTCCCAGTTGGCATGTGACTTTTTGAAGTATTCACTTTCGATTCCTTCCTGTAAAATTATCTAGAGTATCAATTGTGTTTTAGTGGAAACATGACGAGAGATTTTTAAAAAGCTATAAGAACGCAAGGGATTTAGACACGTGACAATAGGAACTGCAATGGAAATGCTCCTAAAGGAACAGTTGTGAAAAAWTTGACACCGTAAAAAGTCTTAGAAACTTACTGACGTTTCGGAATTTAGTCAAACGAATAAAGTTGTCCTTCAGCAGCATAAGTAAATGGA